GTTCCTATCTGTACCAGTGTACATCCTCTGGTCTAGTCTAATTTGTAAGGTAGAATTGGGATCGTGATAGTGGGGGGTGGGGTGGGGGAGGAAGCATTAAAGAACTAGAGGAAAGTTGTATGTTTCATCTTTGCTATGCTGCACCAACTACTTGCTCGTCTCCTCCCCGTGACCCTTCTGTAAGGGGATGTCCAGTTGCCCACAGATGGGCTTTGGGTCCCCAATCTCCACTCCCCCTCATTCACAATGATATGATTTTTTTTTACTTGATGCCTGATACCTGATCCCTTTGACACCTCATGATCCTACAGGTTTGGTGTGTTTCTTCAATGTGGGCTTTGTTGCTTCTCTGTTAGAAGGCTGCTTGTTTACCTTCGACCCTTTAAGAAGCCAGACACTATATATTTTGATAGCTGGGCATCATCAGCTTTCTCTATCACATTTGCTTATTCGCCCATTAGTCTTCAGTGATCATATGGGGAAGGTGAGCACACAATGATATGATTTTTTCTTCTCTGATGCCTGAAACCTAATCCCTTTGGCCCCTCGTGATCACACAGGCTGGTGTGCTTCTTCCATGTGGGCTTGGTTGCTTCTGAGCTAGATGGCCACTTTTTTACCTTCAAGCCTTTAGGACCCCAGATGCTATTGCCTCAGAGATTATTTTAAGATTCCAATAATTGTTCAGGCCAGCTTATAATTTCTTTGGCAATACATGTATCTCAAAAACTTAGTTGACTTCTGTCCTATTTGATTTTTGTTGGTTCCATTGTGCCAATAACCATATCCAGGACCTGGTTCATAAATTTGCTTTATTGCTTTGTTTTTTCATCTCTCTCAAGGCTTTTGAAATTTTATTTCCTGATACGGAAAAAGCCCATGTAGAATCCTAGCATCTTAGTTTTGTGACAACTTCTTTCACAAGATCGTGTTCTCTATCTCTGCTACCCATTCACAAGGTCAAGTCCTTGACCTTGTCAGTATCAATAATTACTAATGTTTTGTCAATTTAATTTCTAGCTTGCAGCCTCTCTCACTCTAACATTCCTCTCTCACCTGTAATAATCCAACTCCAGTGACTCCTCCCCAGTACCCACAAGCTACTGGTCTGACTCAACACTTTGAAAGATTCCTCTGTGCCCTCATGTTTCATCTCCCTCCTTACCTGACTTAGATTCCAGGGTCATTGTTTGAAGTCCCTTTTTTAAACTGTTTTTATTGTGTATTGTTAAATTGACTCTGACTTATAGCCACCATGCTGAACAAAGAATTGCCCCATAGAGCTTCCTAGGCTGCAATCTCCCATGAGCATACCACAAGGTATTTTCTTCTGTGGAGCCATTGATGAGTATGAAATGTGAACTTTTGGTTGAAAGTGTACTTAATCATTGTACCACCAACTCTCCTTGACAAGGCCTTGTTCCTGACTAAATGCAACACTTTCCCTCCTCCCTACAGTGAAATGTTCCTGGAAAGGAATCCTCAATAATCCCTAATGGTGATATTTTACATTCAGGTGACCCTAATCGCGAGTAGGCTTTTGATGCCTTCCAATTCTATAACCCTCTCATTCATTCACCAGCATATTCTTCTAGACAGTAATTTCACACCATTTTTCTGGCCTCAGAGTTTTAACCCTTGTTGCTTTCCTGTCTACATTCCTCCAGGTGTCTAGATGGTGTGATCACTTGTTGTTGTTAGGTCCTGTCAAGTCAGTTTGAGATATGCACATACGACCTTATGCACAACACAACCAAACACTACCCAGTCCTGAACCACCCTCACAATTGTTTCTGTGCCTGAGCCCTTTGTTGTAGCCACTGTGTCCATCCATTTGCTTGAAGGCCGTCCTCTCCTTTGCTGCCCCTTCACCGAACATGATGTTCTTCTCCGGAGATCTGAATTTCCTGACAGCATGCCTTTATTAGACCAGGACGACAAGAGAAAAAAAATCCAGAGACACTCATATATGTTTAAGAAAGAGCTTTATATCAAAGAGTAATTGTATATTACGAAAACATCCCAGGGAGATGTCAGACGGTGTAAGATATGACAAAATAATAATTTATAAATTATCAAGGGTTCATGAGGGATGGGGGAACATGTATGGAGGGGGTAAAATGAGGAGTTTATATCAAAGGCTAAAGTAGAAAGAAAATGTTTTGAGAATGATGATGGCAACAAATGTACAAATGTGCTTGACATGATGGATGTATGGGTTGTGATAAGAATTGTACGAGCCCCCAATAAAATAATTTAAAAAAAATACCAGTCTAGCCAAGTCCATAATCCAATATTAACCCATAATTCTGAAACTAGTCCATAAATCCTTCTTCAGACTCACGCAGCATATGCAATGATGCAAAACACAGAAAGATCACAGGCCAGTGGGTGCAAAGTCTTGTGGATCCAGTGGTGGTGGAAGCATCTCCAGGGCTCTCGCAGGTCTCAGTGTGGCTCCACGTGTCTTGTCAACAGGAAGGTGAAAACAGAGAGAGTGAGGTGGCCTGTCTCTGGGAAGAGAGATGGAGGCCAGCCTAGGAATTCCATTTGTCTCCCTCAAGCTGTGACCTGATTGACACCCTAAACTCCACCCACATGTTCCTATGGGAGCCATGTTGGCACAGAAAACCTATCTGTCACAAGGCCAAAGTATCTAAGATGAAATCTCACCATCCTTGCCTATAAGGAACACTCTGGCCCTACTTCTTCCAAGACAGATCGGTTTGTCATTTCAGCAAATCATGGTACTTTCAATACTCTTCTCCAGCACCACATTCAAATGCATCAATTCTCGTTAGTCTTCTGAACTTCAGTCTTCAAACTTCTACATGCATACGAGGCAATGGAATATATCATGGTTTGGGTCAGGCGCACCTTAGTCTTCAAAGTAACATCTTTGCTTTTTAATATCCTAAAGAGGTCTCATGCAGCAGATTTCCTAATGCAACTTGTCTTTTGATCTCTTGACTGCTGCTTCCATGAGCAGTGACTGTGGATCCAAATGA